AGAGAGATAGATAGATAGAGAGGGAAGAGAGAGAGAGAGACGAGAGAGAGAGAGAGAGAGAGATGAGAGAGAGAGAGAGAGAGAGAGAGAGAGAGAGAGAGAGAGAGAGAGAGAGAGGAGAGAGAGAGAGAGAGAGAGAGAGAGAGAGAGAGAGAGAGAGAGAGAGAGAGAGAGAGAGAGAGAGAGAGAGAGAGAGAGAGAGAGAGAGAGAGAGAGAGAGAGAGAGAGAGAGAGAGAGAGAGAAGAGAGAAAGAGAGAGAGAGAGAGAGAGAGAGAGAGAGAGAGAACAACAACAGAGAGAAACGAAGACAAAGAACCCATTCACAGAAATCTCAACAAACAAAAGAAGAACAAATACTGCACCCCCACCACCCCCCCCCCCTCCCCCTCCCTCCCCCTCCCCCTTCAGCCCCCAGTGGCTCTCGCTTCCCCCTGGGTCGATATATGACACAGATGCCGGGCGTCAAAAGAGCTACAGGATGGCCGAGTCACGTGACCTGGGGCCAAGTAGCGCCAAGGTCAAGTTCTAGGTCGGCGTGACGTCATTATTAGCTATGGGAAAAAAGAAGGAGAATGAGAATAGGGGAAGAATTAGAGCGGAAAGGAATTAAGAGAAAATGGAATTATAGAAACAAACGTCGTAAAAATATCTTTTATAAATACATCCATATAGACTGAAAAAAACAAACAAACAGAATATACATTAGACCGAAACAAACAAACAAACAAAAAAAACACGAAAAATAAATAAAACAGCATAAACAAGCCAAATGCCCGACAGAATGAAAATGATGATAATCCCAAATGATACAAAATGATATTGTGTTTCGTAATTGACATGCCGCAAATTCCCCGGGCATTTTAGCATGAAATTCTCCAACTTCCAAACACATGAAATTCACATCATATTATCTCTTTACTCGAGTACAAGCGATTCGAATACTTTCTCACATTGCAGTCGTTCCTAATACCTTATAATGATATAATCTTAAAACTGTATTTAATAACCCTTATATATGTGCATTGATATAGATCTTTGTACCTGTGTTATCCTTAATTCATGTTCGAGTATAATGTTAAAATAAAGGTATTGAGTTCTATAAACGGTTCTTAATTCCATATAACAGTAGAATCTAGGAATCATCTGATACCTATATGGTCCTTGATTCCATGTAAATTAAATCCTAAAACCAGTTATACATATATGATCTTAAATTCCAGATAACAAATGCAATTCTAAAACCTTATACTTAAATAACTAAAATCCTAAAACCAAATATGTATTTATGATCTTAAATTCCAGGTAACATATGCAATTCTAAAACCTTATACTTATTAACTAAAACCCTAAAACCTTCTATACATCTATGATCTTAAGTTCCAGATAACAAATGCAATTATAAAACCTTATACTTATTTAACTAAAATTCTAGAACCATATTTGTATTTATAATCTTAAAATCCAGATAACAAATGCAATTCTAAAACCTTATACTTAATGCTATAGCGATATAAACCCAAGTCCTATATGCTATTGAACTCCACATCGCCATAAACTCCACAAACTCTACACCTTACTCGATCCTAAAACTTCACAATAAACGCCAGAATTCCACACCGCCACAGCACCACCAGAGGAAACCGTCACAGCATCACCACAGCTCTACCACAGGACCTACCACAGCACTACCACAGAGGAGTCTTATACTGCTACAGTTGCTTGTTCTGTTAAATTTGGATTCCTTGTTTTTTTTTTGTTTTTTTGTTGTTTTTTTTTTGCTTTCTCTATAGTCTCCAGTATTGCCAGACGATTTAGGGGAAAATTTTGCGAGGCGAATATTATATTTAGGGGAAAAATGCGGTGATTTTCTCTATGGCGGGGATTTTTTTTTTTCTTTTTTTTTTGAGAATGTGAGTGTTTGATTAGCGAGCGTGTGGACAGTATGGAAAATAAAGGCAGGGAATTAATGATGAAGGGAGGAATCGAGAGCGTTGTGAATATAAGGGAGATGGTAACACTACTAATGAGAAGTGGGTGAACGGGGGTGAGGGAGGGGTGGGGGGGGGGTAGGCATCGAGGGCGGAAGGGAGGGAGTGGGGAAAGAGAGGGAGGATAAAGGGGAGGGAGAGAGGCAGGGAGGAGTAGGGAGAGGAGGAAGGTGGGGGTGGGGGGAGGGAGAGAGGCAGAGGAGGAGTAGGGAGAGGGAGAGAAGGGGAGGGAGGGAGAGAGGCAGGGAGAGAGGGAGAGAGGTAGAGGTAGGGAGGAGGGAGAGGGGGAGAGGGAGAGAGGCAGGGAGAATAGGGTAGGAGGAGGAGGGAGGGGAGAGGGAGTAAGAAATAGGAGAGTGAGAGCGGAGAGGAGGGAGAGGCATAGGGGGCCAGGGAGGGAGGAGGGACAGGTGACGGGGATGAGATGAGCAGAGGGGGGGGGTATGGAGGAGGGGAGGGAAGAGGGAGGGAGGGAGGGGAGGAGGGGCACGACCTGACGACTCTCACACCAGCTCCGCGACCCTCAGTCCCTCAGTGTGTCTGTGACCCGTGCGGCGGCGGACGTGCAGGAGCCCCTCGTGTCACGCCAGGTGCTGTCACGAACTTTGTAACCGGTCTGTGTGGCGGGAGGGAAGAGGAGAGGGTAACCTGCGTATAAATATTTTGCGTTTACTGTTTATTTACGTTGTAGCGCAGAGGGTTTTGTTAACGGGATATGATTATGGGTATGGATGGATTTTTTATAACGAATTTGTAAGGTGTAATGAGGTACCGATTCGGGAAAAAAGGTGAAGGTGCACGTGTGTGTGAGGATAACGCGCCTAAAACGATTGTATCACGTGATCTCCGTTGTCACTTTCCCTAGATGTTCGACAACACGCGCGGAAGAAGCAATATCAATGCATATAATTTATATTATAAAAAAAGGTAAAAATATATTCTCCAGAGTAAGATCTTTTACGAGACAATATCCACGGCGCAAAAGAAGAAGAAAAGAAATAATTCAAAATTCTCGAATAAAAAAAAAAAAAATATATCACCCCGCCATTAAGAAAAAAAAACAGTCACATTGCCTCCTTCGATTTAAACACCCTCTTCAAAATTGGAATAAATAATTGAAATAATTCAAAATTCTCGAATAAAAAAAAACTATCATCCGCCATTAAAAAAAAAAACAGTCACATTGCCTCCTTCGACTTAAACACCCTCTTCAAAAAAAAAAAAAAAAAAAAAAAAAAAAAAATACGCGCGTTGCCTTTCGAGCGCAGAGAGGCCGGAACACCCCCCTCCCCCCCTCCCTCCCCTTCTCCCTCCCCCCAGGCGAGAAATATTTTGAGCTTCTGACTAAGGAAAGTATTACTAACAACAACAGACTCGCGGGCTGCCCAGGCGTGGTGACGTGAACGCGATCTTGAACGAAACTTTACGGAGAGAAAAACGTCATACTGGGTGAAACGAGATTAATTATTTTTTTTTTATCAGCTTTGGTACGATTTAAAAAGGTGCTCAAGAATGTGCTTAAGGCATTTGCAAACAGAGTTAAAGAAAGGACACACTTATTCACTTACAGGTACACACGTGCGTACACGCACACACGCTTCTGTCTGTCTGTCTGTTCTGTTTTGTTTGTCTGTCTGTCTGTCAGTTTGTCTGTCTGTCTGTCTGTCTGTCTTCTCTCTCTCTCTCTCTCTCTCTCTCTCTCTCTCTCTCTCTCTCTCTCTTCTCTCTCTCCCTCTCTTCCCTCTCCTCTCTCTTTTTCTTTCTCCCTCCCTCCCTCTCTCTCTCTTCTCTCTCTCTCTCTCTCTCTCTCTCTCTCTCTCTCTCTCTCCTCTCTCTCTCTGTCTCTCTCTCTTCTCTCTCCTCTCTCTCTCTATATATATAATATATATATATATATATATATAATATATATATATATATATATATATATATATATATATATAATATTATGTAACACACACACACACACACACCACACATAATAAATATATATATATAATATATATATATATATATATATATATATATATATATATATATATATATATATATATATATATATATATATATATTATATATATATATATATATATATAATATATATAATATATATATATATATATATATATAATATATATATTATATATATATATATATATGAGTGTGTGTGTACATACTGTATATGTACAACTATATACACATAGACACACACACATAATATACATATATATACAATCATATATATCTGTCCTCTCTCTCTTTCTCTCTCACATTTTCTGTCTGTCTAACGCTCTCTTTCTCTCTCTTCTCTCCTCTCTCTCTCTCCTCACTCCCCCTTCTCTCCTCTACTGACGTCTCACTCTCTCTTCCTTCCCTTTCCCTTCCCCCTCAATCCATCTCTCCCATAATCCCTCAATCCCTCCCTTTTTCTCATTTCCCTTCCCCTCCTCCCTTCGTTCCCTTCCCTTCTTTCTTCACTCCCCCTCCCTCCCTCCTTTTTCCTCCACCCACCCTCCCTCCCTTCACTTCCTCCCTTCCTCCTTCCCTTTCTCTTCCCTCTCCCTTCCTCCCTCCCTCTCTCCCTTTCCCCCTCCCTCTCTCCCTTCACATCCCTTCCTTCCCTTCCCCTTCCCTCTCTCCCCTTCCTCCCTCCTTCCTTCCCTCTCTCCCTTCCTCCTCCCTTCCTTTCCTTTCCTCCATCTCTCCCTTCCATCATCCTCCTTCTCCTCCTCCCTCCCCTCCCTCCTCCCCCCTCCTCCTCCCTCCCTCCCTCATCCTCCCTCCATCCATCCTCATCCATCCACATCCATCCATCCATCCATCCATCCTTCACACACACACAAACATCCAATCTTCATAGCCCAAAGATCAATTTTTTTTTTTTTTTTTTTTAATCTTACGCTTCGTTTGTTTTCGGAAAGTCTCAAGGGAAGAACTTTCGAGAATGTTCTAGAACAAAAGGCACGGATCGACATCTTAATTCGGGAGCTTAGATTTTACGATCTTTGGCGATTATCGGAACGGAGTGAGACATAAGCGGATGGCATTCTCCTGTGTCGTTCGATGTGTTTATTCGCTGCGGGGGGTGGGGGGTGGGGTGGGGGAGGGGGGGGGAGTGGGGTAGAGTGCGTTTGGAGTGGGGTAGAGGGGGTGGAGTGGGGGGAGTGGGGGGGAGTGCGTTTGGAGTGGGGTAGAGGGGGTGGGGGGGAGTGTGGAGTGGGGGTGGAGTGAGTTTGGAGTGGGGTAGAGGGGGTGGAGTGGGGTGGGAGTCAGATAGGAGTGGGAGTGTGGGATGGGAGTGTGGGTGTGGAGTGGGGTGGGGTGGGAGCGTGGGGTAGGAGTGGGGTGAGAGTGTGGGATGGGGGTTTGGGAATGTGGGGGTAGGGATGGAGTCAGGTAGGAGTGGGAATTGTGGGATGGGGGGTAGGAGTGGAGTGAGGCTGGAGTGGAGTGGGATAGGAGTAAGATAGGAGTGGTGGATGGGGTGGGAGTGGGTTAGGAGTGGGGGATGCGAGATGAGGGTGGGATAGGAGTGGGATGGGGATGGGAGTGTGGGATGGGCGTAAGATTAAGAGTGGGAAGGGAGTGGGAGTGGGATGGGAGTAAAATAGGAGTAGGATGGGGGATGGGAGTAGGATAAGAGTGGGATGGAAGTGAGATAGGAGTGGGACGGGGATGGGAGTGGGGGATGGGAGTAGAAAGAAAGAAGGGATAGGATGGGGAGGAGTAAAGAGAACTGGGAAGGTTGGTAAATGGAGATGGTGTAGGGGGGGGGGGGAGGGAGAAAAGAGGGGGGGGGCGTTTAAGTGGAGGGGGGTGAGGAATATATCACACATAGGTCAAGTTTTGTCAAGTTTTGGGGTGAAAATGGAAGGAAATGTGGGGAAAGACCGTCATTCTATTTTCTATCGTTTCTCTGTAGAAATGTAGGTGTGTGTGTGTGTATGTGTGCGTGCGTGTGTGTGTATGTGCGTGTGTGTATGTGTGTGTGTGTGTGTGTGCGTGTATGTGTGTGTGTGTGCGTGTGTGTGTGTGCATGTGCGTGTGTGTATGTGTATGTATTTGTGTGTGTGTGTGTATGCGTGTGTGCATTAAAGGAAGTAATCCCAAGCCATCCAACTCAAGTTCTGAAGTGGAAAGGATAGAAGGGAAGAATAACGAAATGGAGAAAAAGAGGAGGAGGAGAATGAAGAGAAGAAGAAGAGAAACAGAAGTAGCCACATTATTCTTTATTGTCTATCCACATCATCCACATCAGGAGGAAGGAGGAGAAATGAAAAGGAGAAGAGAGAGAGGAGACGATGATAACGGAAGGAAAAATATTGGATGGAGGGTGATAAAAGGAGAAATTGAAGATGATGAAGATTAGTAAGGAAGGAGATAGAAGAACACGAAGATTAGCAAGGAAGAAGATGAAGATTAGGAGGAAGAAGGAAGAAGATGGAGATTAGGAGGAAAGGAGAAAAGAAGATGAAGATTAAAACGGAAGTGAGAAGCTAGAGATTAGGAGGAAAAGAGAGAGAAGATAATTATGAAGAAAGGATGTAATGAGGAGGAGAGGAGGAGAAATAGAAGCAAAACGCAAGCGGCGAAATCATCTTGCATCGCTTCTTCGTATATGGAAGAAGAAAAAGAGATGATAAAGAAGATGAGAAGAAGACAAGAAGAGAGAAGAAAGGGAAAAGAGGAAGGAGGCAAAGAGGAAATTATCACAGGACTCTTAACCACGAGAAGAAGAAAATAGAATGACGAAGAAAGGGAGAGGCATAAGAAGAAAATAAGACAGACAAATCAACGAATAAAGAGAAATGGGAAAGAATGAAATTAAATCTAGTTAGAGGAGAAGAGAGACAAAAAAATATGTCAACAACAAAAAACGAAGATAAAAAACACGAAAGAAAGAATAAAAAGAAAGAAAAAAGAAGAAAAAAGAGAAAATGAACCAAAAACACACAAAACCAAAAGTAAATCGAGTCCATTTTTATTCCTTCACTCCCACCTCCCTCTCTCCCTCTCCCTTTCCTTCTCCTTTCCTATCTCCCTCTCCCTTCCATCTCCTTTTCTTTCTCCCTCTCTCCCTTCCTCCCTTTTTTTTTTTTTTTTTTTTTTTTTTTTTTTTTTTTTTTTTTTAAGGACCCGACCACCCTGATTCGATACCCTATTTTCCTTCCGTTATAACAAGGTAATTTATTCCTTACGATGAAGCATTCTCCCGATGGTTATTATAACGGGTGACGATGTTAATGGGTTATTAGGGGCTTGTTATAGCGTCTCTTGGGCAATTACGGTGGGTTATTGAGGCTGCAATGGCCAGGGTTGTTGGTTGTTATATGCAATAATTCTTTGTTAGGTTAATATCACCTTTTCGTCTCCGCTTTTTAGCTGGTTTGTTTTTAATTATTATTTATTTATTTTTTTATTTTTTGCTCGTTATCCTTTACTTTTTTGGCTTTTTATATTCTTCTCTATTTTTCTCCTCTTTTTTCACATCAAAAAGAAATTATTTTCTTCTGACTTTTCTCATTTTTTCATCTTCCATGCTTCGTTTTTTTCCCTTTCATTGATATTTTCTTTTTCTTTTCTTCCAACT